AAGGGGCTTCACCACCATTTGTGGGCTCCCCTTCAGCTTGCCTGCACCTTGTTGATAGTCCCCTTTTTAATCTCTCTTTACTCGCCGTCTTAGGGCACCATCTGATTTTTTCAGATACAGATTCCAGAGAGGCCCCAAGTTCCTGCCCTTGACAGGTGGAGAGAGACTTAAAGTCCAGTCCAGCTTGGCCTCCCAAACCATCCTCAACGCTCTGGAATCGCATAAATTCCCTCTTCCATGGAGAGCTGCTGCTTAAAAAAATACCTGCTGGAGAACCAGCATTGGCCTCTCCAAAATGTCCACATTCCATCATCCTGTCCTCCTCCGAGTAAGCTCTAATAAGCTCCATTACCATGGTAGGGAATGAGGACTCCAGCCCTGGGGGTGAGAAGGAGGAGCCAAATCACAAGTTGGAGAGGGGCCAACTGTGATGAGAATCAAGGACACAATATTGCAGTCCCCTTTAATTCCCTTTGTGACCTCTTCCTCTGGGATACACACATTTGCCCTCAACTTCCCTGATGCTTCCACCCCAGGTCCTGGTGAGCAAAATATCCCCAGAAAGAGATCTTGAACCTGTTTGCACATGGAGAGACATGTGCACACACATACACATTCACATACATTCTCACACACGTACACATAGCCCTTCACACACGTGAGCACATACACTTATTCACATGTACACACATACATAAAGGTAGAGCCCACATTTGAAAAACACACCGAACTTCCACTTCCACCCCAATTTTCAGTGAGGCTCATGACTCTTTTAGCCACTTATTCCCAAGGACAACCTCTGGCCCTGCCCAGTGGCTTACCTGAGGCAGAGACACAAGGAGAAAGCAGAGTCAGTCTTTCATAGAATCTTAAAACGGATCAACAGAAAGGCCCAGTGAGATTTCTTAGCCCAACATTACCCAACAAGTGTTCCAGCGAATGTGAGTCTCTGAGCTGCCCTATGAAAAATAAAATTCCGCAGTCCAGGCAGTTTGGGAAACACAGGCTGCCATATTATCCCCTCTCAGAGAATCCCAAGGCTCTGTGAGGTCCTGAAGAAAAGGTTCCTGCTAAAGGTCATTTCACTCAGTATCTCAGTGGTGGATGATAGGTAGACAGATGGACCAAGAATAGATGGTACATATGTGAGAGAGGAAGAGAGAGAGTGGGAAACTGAGAATGATTTTGAAGTTAAACTCTATGTAACACACGTTTAAATAACATTGACATAGACCAACCATTTTCATAATTAACGGAGGCTCAGAAAGGGCTTTGCCCAAGGTCACCAGCTAGTAAAAGGCAAAAGTGGGACTAGAACTCGGGCCTCCTAATGCCCACACTCCTTCCAACAGGCTCTGTTCCATTTTTTTTTTTTTTTAATTTAACTCTAACCCCCAGGATCTCTGGGAATCGAAGAGATCAATGCTATTTTCAAAACAAACCCTGGTGTTTGTGATTGTACTTGGTGACCTCACATGTCTTCCCTCGCAGACACACCCTCTGCTGAGGAAGACGTCCCCTCCTGCATCCCGGACTCCCAGGGTGGCAGGGCCCAGGGCGGAGGCCTGAGGGCTAGGCCTGATGAGGAGTCCTGGCTCTGGTAAGGCCAGGGGCCTGGATACTGGGTCCTGCTACTCTACTTGAGGTGGGGAGGGAGGCTTCCTGCTGGTGGACCCAAATGGCACAAGCGCTCACAGTGCCATCCCCAGGGATGGGGTTGGAGAAATGAAAGCCGAGGTCTGAGGCCTGGGTGTGCCTGGGTGTGCCTGGCACTCCTTCCACAGGGCTCAGCTACTAGAACTAGAGCTCTCTTCCTACCCCTCCTCCCTCAGCCAAGGTCCTGGCACCCTGCCTCCTACATCCTATCCCCTGAGCTCCCAGCCACAGTGGCCTCTCCCTCACTGCACACTCATGGCCCAGAGAAATGCCCAATGCCCTCAGCGGGCCTGGACCTCCACTGGCCCCCCCCCCCCCCACCCCCGCCACACAGTCACCCGGGGTTGGCTACCTCAGGCTTCCCCCAGCACCTCCTGTCTCCCCACGCAGCATGGAGGCTTCCAAAGCCCAGGGCAGGCCCTAATTTCAGCTACCTCCCGCAGGGCAAGTGCCAGGCCCTGCAGGCACATACACAGATGAAGAGAACCTTCTCGAGGTGCCCGGCGTGGTGCTTGGCACACAGCAGGCACAGAGGGGGGCCTGGGTTTATGGGCAACTTCCTCATGCAACAGCAAAATAGAATTCATTTTGGAGATCCCTCACAGGACAGAGGAACCACAAGGAGGAGGCTTCTGGAGCGACTCCGGGATGCCACACCACCCAATGGCCTATGAGGGTCTCAGGTCCCTGAACAGCAGCACCACGTGGGGGCAGAAGACATGTGCGGGCATTTCTGGCCCTTGACTCTGATTCGGTTATAGACTCACAGAGAGGGAAAGGCCAAGTGCTTCCCATGCTCCCCTGCAGGCCTTTAGCACAGCTGAGCTGAACAGAGACCTACAGGGAGAAGGCCATGCTTGCAGCTGGGCTCAAACAGGGCACTAGCCCTCCCCAGCTCAAGGCGCCTCCCAGGAGTAAATCTGGCAAGACATGCTTCACACCCAAAAGCCAGTGGCTTTTGATACCTCAACCAAAGTTCCATAAAATAGGAGGTTCAGCTGCAAAGACAGATTCTCCTGGCCTACACACTCAGGAGGAGATGCGGACAGGAAGGTGTGGGGAAAATCTTATCTCCTGATCCTTAGGCAAAGATCCCCACGTGGGCCACTTCTCCTTAAATCTCCCCCCTGCCCCGCACAGCCCCCCGCCCCCGCAGGCTGTTGCTTGAGCCCTCCGTAGAGCAAGCAGGGATGACCGCTGTGAACTCAGAAACCCAGCCCCGAAGTCTGGACTCTAGCCCTCACTCCCCCACCTTCCCCAGAACCATCCATCTCTGAGGCTTCTCTGCTGCTAGAATGGGGGAGGGGGGTGCGCACCCGAGGCCCGCACTGTGTGCCACCACTGCTCATACTTGTCTCTTTCCCAAGCAGCAGGGCCTCTGGGGGCGAGGGCAAGGCCAACACCTCCCGGGCAGACAGAACAGAAGAGAGAGAGTCAACAGCGGCAGTGTTTGTATCTGCTCCTTTGTCTGGGACACACAGCCCAGTTCCTGGGGGCTTGCCAGGATGGCCTATTGTCTGGTAGTGTTTGCCTTTGGCTCGAGAGGTGCCCTGGAGTGGGAAGTGGGGGGTGGGGAGGGAAAGCAGGGCCCGGCACCACACCAGGCAGCCAGCCTGGGTGCCAGAGGCCATGGCTCATGAAACCCCTGGGCGAGGAGCCAAGGGCCTGCCCACTCTTCTGTCTGCAGGCTCAGATGACCAGTGATGGCAGGAACTCCCCCCCCCCAACAAAGACCTCTCAGAACCATTGTCTTCCCTCCCCCAGGCCCCTTCCAGGCTCTCCACTCTCCCACCTCTGCACACCTACCCTCACTCCCAACTCAAGGAAGGTGAGGAAGGTAAGAGACACTGCATAGTACTGCCCAGAGGGGACAGAAACAGCCCAGGGAGAGCCGAGGACCTGCTTCTGGGGGGATGTCCAGCGTCGGTCTGCACATGTGTTAGAGGCAGCTGGCCTTACAGTTCCGTCTTCCCCAAACCACCGCCTGTGCCTCAATTGCCCTCAAACCCAGCTCCTGCACGAGCGGCTCTCTTCTATCAGGACTGCACGTCCATCAGCTGCTGCTAAACTGAACGAGGCAGCATGTCCCCAGAGCTGTAGGACCCTGCGCAAGTCAGTTCCTCTCTGACTAGGAGGGGCTGGATTTCTGGGTCTCTCAAGGCCCTCAGCTTCAAAGTCACAGAAGTTTCTACATGTTCAGCTTCAAAGTCACAGAACCAGAACCACAGGGTGAGGGTCTGAAGCCTGCCTAGACAGCAGAGCGGAAACGGATACTACAGGAACGCAACAAGAAGGATCCATGCCTTCGGCCGGAGACCGTTCACGTCATCAACCAAGACACGGTTCTGTGCAGGTGTGTCCACCACACTTTGTGCAGAGACCACACCTTTAGCTGTATACCGCAGGCTGCAGATCCTCACACTGTAAGGAGTCATGCACACTTTGAAGTATACTGCACACTTCGGGGTCTACGCACACTTTGAGGTGTATACACACTTCAGGGCACACAGACACTCTGCAGCATGTAACACTTTGTAGATCTACACACTTGGACGGTATCCCATACTTTGTGTATCTACCACGCTCTGCATAGAGACTTCCCTGCTGGGAGCACTCGCTAGTGTGAATGACTCTGGCAGGGCTCTGAGGCTCAGCCTGCAGACCCCGGAACCAGACAAAGTTAGGTGGGATGCCTTTCCGCCACTTGTTAACCTTGAGCAAATCACTTGCCCTCTGAGACTCAGTATCTTCACCTGTACAAGGGAGATAATAATAGTACCTACCTCATAGGGCTTGAGGGCAAGATTAAATGAAGCTGAGCCTACAATGGGCTCACGATAGCGTCCAGTGCAAAGAGACCCCTGGTAAAGGGCACCTGGGTGGCTTGGTCAGTTAAGCTTCAGACTCTTGTCTGCCAGGGTCACGACAGCAGGGTCGTGAGCTCCCACTTGGGTGGGGAGCCCTTCGTGGAGCCCCTCCTCCGGTTCCGCTTGGAGCCCTGAGTTGGGCTCAGAAACCCTTCTGCCTCTGGATGGACTCCCTGGGATTTCAGCTTTTCTCCCTCTCCTTTCGCCCCTCCCCCCCATTGCACGCATGCGCGCTCTCATGCCCTAAAACGAATCTTAAAAAAAAAAAAAGAAACAAACACTTGGTAAACGGTAGCCTTGCCATTGCTCACACTTTCAAAGTTGAGTGTTTTATAATGTACTCTACTGTTTAACTTAAAAATTTTAATTGAAGAAAAAAAATATATATATATATAATCGGGTGTTCCCAGGGTGGTAAAGCTTTGGAAACTCAGATAACAGACAGAAACATTTAATTCATATTTATTTCACATTTGATCTGTAAACTTTTTATTAAAAAAAAATCCACTGTCATTAGCAACGTGTGCTGCCATTAGTTTGTCTTTAGTGAAATAAGAGCGCAGGCCTTAAAGAGTCTCTAAAACATGTAGAAACTTCGATGTGAACACAAGGTGTCCGCCCTCCTCCCTTGATTTTGGGAGTTCGTCAATGACATGATCTCAACCAGAAAAGCAGGGGGAAAAGGACAGCACTTTGATACCTAAGAGCTCCCGAGGCAGGAACTGCACAGTTTGGCAGGCTCATTTGTCTTTTTGAACTGTTTACCTTGGGCAAATTGTATCAGGTTTGCTTCTTCCACATAATTTCCACTCCTCCATCTAAAAACAGCAGCTAAAAGATTTCTTGCAGTCAGCACTTTCAGAGAAGGAGGGGTAGGTGCACAAACATACAAGATAGAAACATACATATTCCTCAAGCAGTGGCCCTGGAGAGAGGGAAGGTGGGAAAGAGGGAGGGAGGGACCCAGGAAAGAGATACTTTTAAAGTGAGTTACTGGGGCGAAGGGTGCATCAGAGGATAATGGCTTTATACACAGGGCTGCTGCAAGGCAAAAAGGTTCATTTACTTCTGTCTTGGTCCCTCGTAATATTTACATAGGAAAAGGCAATTAATTATGCTGTTAGGCACAGGGGAAAAAAATGGACAGAAAACTTTTCCCCCTCAGGGAATCTCAAAGCAGGTCCAGCCCCAAGGGGCAGTCACCAGAAAGTGACTTGCATTGCAAAGGGGCCGGGCCTGAACCGAAGACCATGTGTCTGCCTCAGAGCATCTCCAACAGCATCACAAGCCCAGACACTGGGGACCTTAGCGTGTACTATCAAAAATAGTGTTTATTTACAGTGGAGGGATGGGAGGATGGGCTGGGCTGCCCTGAGCATTTTTTAAAAACAGAGTTGGGGGGAAAGAGAGAGCAATTAGCTAGGGCTGGGTAACCCCCATCCCTTAGTCCTTCGTGAACCATACCCTCTGGGGTCCGTTCAGTGCTTTTTTGCTCTGATCTGCACTGACAGCTGGACTCAAGGGAGGTGAAAATACCTTTAGGAAACAATACTGATTAGGGGACGCCCAGGAACCCAGGAGGATCCCTCCAAGTCACAAGGGACCCTAACAACAACTGGGGGGCCTGCGGCCCTCCCAGCCAGTTCTTTTCCCTGGGGGGAGGGGAGTAGGGAGGAGCAGAGGCCCACAGGACGCCGCAGGGCAAGGCCGGGTCAGGAAAACACCGAGTAGGCAGGACCCGGGTTTCAGTGTGCTGGGACTGCATAGATGCGCCCCTTGATCCCCGCCGACTACAGCGGGCGCCAGTCTGTTCGCGGGTCGTGGACCCGGCGCTCACACGATCCGTTTCCTGTCCCCCCGGCAGAGGATCTTCTTGAAGGCCCGGCGGAAATCGTGGTTGAAGATGGTGTAGATGACCGGGTTCAACGAGCTGTTGCAGTAGCCGAACCAGAAGAAGAACTTGAAAAGCGTGCGCGGCACGGAGCAACCCACGGCCGTGAGCGTGTAAGTGAAGAAGAAGGGGAACCAGCACACCACGAACACGCCGATGACCACGGCCAGCACGAACGTGAAGCGTTTCTCGCGGTTCTGCCGCCCGCGCCAGCGCGACGCCTTGGCGCCCCCGCCACGCTCCTCCCCTGGCCCCGCCGCCGACGCCCCGAGCCCCGTCGCCCCCGGCCCGCGCCGCGGCAGGCTGTCCCCGGGCTTCACCTGGCTCGCCCGGGCCTTGCCCTTGGCCCGGGGACCGCGCTCGGACCTGCGGGGCCCCGGGGGCCGCTCGGCGTGCTCGGACGATGAGCTCTCCTCCAGGTCCAGCGCGTCCGCGTCGCGCGGCCCGGCCGGGGCGGGCTCCCCGGGGGCGCCGTTGAGCTGGGCGGGCAGCGGCTCGGCCTCGGCGCCCACGGGGCCCACGCCGCGCTCCGGGCCCAGGCCGTTGGGCCTGCGCTCGGCGCCCCCCGGCGGCGCGGCGGCGGCGTCCGGGCCCCGGCGGCTGGGAGGCACGCGGGTGCGGCGCTTGGCGATCTGGTAGATGCGCACGTAGACCAGGATCATGATGAGGCAGGGCGCGAAGAAGGAGCCGATGCACGACGAGATTACGTACCACTTCTGGTCGTTGATCTCGCAGAGCGGCTCGGCCGGCTGCGGGCCGCCGCCGCCGCCCTTCTTCTCGATGGAGATGAGCGGCGGGAAGGAGATGACGGCCGAGATGACCCACACGGTGATGATGATGGCCTTGATGCGGCGCGGCGTGCGCTTCAGGTTGTACTCGATGGCCTGCGTGATGGACCAGTAGCGATCCAAGCTGATGGCGCACAGGTGCACGATGGACGAGGTGCAGAAGAGCACGTCGAGCGCCAGGTAGATCTCACACCACGCCTTGCCGAAATACCAGTAGCCCATGACCTCGTTGGCCAACGAGAAAGGGATGACGAGCGTGGCCACCAGGATGTCGGCCGAGGCCAGAGACACCAGGAAGAGGTTCTGGGGCGCCTTCAGCGCGCGGCTTGTGAACACCGCGATGATGACAAGCACGTTGCCGAACACCGTGAGCAGCATGAGCAGGCCGGCCAGGCACACCAGAGTCAGCGTCACCTGCAGGGAGTAAGGGGTGGCCCGGGCGCCGCCCCCTGGAGCCTCGGTCCCGTTCCAGCTCGCGTTGCCCGCGTCCGGCTGCAGGGAGCCCATGGGGGCGAAGCTGCCCTCGGCCAGCGGCTGCTCCTGGCGGAACATGAACGCGGGTGCCCGCTTGCCTGGGCCTGCTGCCAGCTGCCTTCCGGCCCGGCGCCCGTGGGTCCTCCTCTTCCTCCCGCGCCCCGCTCGCCCTGCGGCGCCTCACATGGGGAGGGGGCCGCGGGGACGCCGGCCCGAGCTGGGGGGCGGCTAGCAGCCCATGGACCCGGCTCCCGCGAACGGCGCCCGGCCCGCGCTGCTGGCGCTCGTGGGGGGCGACTTCTCCTTCCCAGCTCCGCACAAGTTTTATTTCTAAGCGGCGGGAGAGAGTAGGTCGAGCCGATGGGGAAAGGGAGATTTATTCCTCAAGAAGGGAGAACAGAAATCATCGGTGGCCTGATCACTTGGGAGGGATGACAGAAAATTTAAAATCTAGCTCTATCTTGACTCTCGAGCCTGAGCGAAAGCAAGAGGTCTTACCGTGTGCGGGCCCGCCCCCACCCCGGGAGGCAGCCGAGGGGCGCCGATGCGGGCGTGGGGTCCTATGTCTGTCTTCTCACATCCCCGAAGCGATTACCGACTCTCTCGCTGCCCCCAGACGCGGCGGTGCCGGCCGGGCCCGGGCTGGGGCCAGGGTGCAGACTCTGCCGCCTCTCTCCGAGCGCCGCCGGACTTCCAAAGTTGCGTGCCCAGCTGGGGCTGGGGCTCGGCGCGCGGAGCTCGGGGGCGGCGACGGCGGCGGGGTGAGCCGTGTGCGGGCCGCATGAAGACGCCCCTGTCCTCAGGTGGGCCGGGGCAGGTGGCCGATCGGCCCTCCGAGAGCCGCGGCCGAGGCACACGGTCTCCTGGGCGTTGGCCCGGCGAGCTGCGGGCGCTGAGTGCAGCCGGACCGGCCGGGGTCCGAGGGCAGCTTGAGTTGGGGCAGGAACGCGGGGCTAGGGGTAGAAGGTGCTGGGGGTGGCCGGGAGGCGGCGCGCCGGCTCCTGGGCGTCTGCACCGAAGCCGGAGCCGCTGCTGCTCCGCCGCGCTCACGGTGGACTGGTTTTATAGCCCCAGGATCAAGCCGGCGTTGCCGAGCAGCAGGCGTCAGCCCCACGTGGGAAACCGACCCTCCCCCACCCCTTGCGCCTCCCCTCCGCGGGTCTAGCGCCCTAGCCCCGCGTGGGACCTTGGGGAGCGCTGCTCCCCTGGCGGGACGGGCTCTTTGGAGAGGCGGGTACCTGGAGCGAGGGGTTTAAAGAGCCCGGGGAGTGGGAGCGGCCCCTGCTGGGAATTGGCCGAGCAGCTCCGGGCCGGCCCAGCCGAGGGCAGCTGGTACCGGGGAGTGCCCCCATCGAGGTGGGTCGGAGGAAAGAGAGTGGGGGACCCTGGCCCGAATCGGGAACAGCACCCACCGGTACCAGCAGCACCCGAAGAGCCTGGTCCTGGGCCATGCCGCTCTCGCCCGCAAGGGCTCCTGGCGGTGAGGCGAGTGGGGTCCTGATGAGAAAGGAAGGCTCGGGTTCGGATCGAACCCTTGGGGCGGAATGGGACGGACCCCCCGGAGAGCGGGACCCGTCTGAGTCCAGAGCTCCGCTTTGGGGAGAGGAGGCCACGTGCGGCCTGAGCCGCAGAGCAGTCTGCCGGACACCGGCGGCGGGAGGTGTCTGGACCGCGCCCCCTTACACGGCGGTTGAGGAGGGGTCCTGGAGGCGGCGGCCACGCGCCGCGACTGAGCGAGGGCGCACTGACACCTGCTGGCAGCTCGTCGTCACGGCCGCCACGCCGGGCGCTTTCTTCCGCCTCTGCAGTCCTTTGCCTACAGCGCCTTCTCCTTTTTCAAGACAAGTTTGGGTCCGAGCTCAGGAAAGGAGAACCCAGATTTTAAATTGCATTTTGTCACGTTGCAGAAATCTTCCTAAAGTATATACTTGGTGTGTCGGGAGTGGGAGTTCGCCTGAGAAAGTCACATTGGGAAGGGCTCAGCAGGCATCACGACCCAAGACTGGCATCCCATCCTGGCCAAGGCACGGCTCGCCGTTCCCACAGATCCGAGATGCCTGCGGCGTACCCTAATGATTGCCCAGTTTTAGCCGGCCACCAACCATTTTGTGTTGGTGGAGGCAGGAGAGCTAGTCTCCTCTCCTTCCCTGCCCCCATCTCAGATGCATGCACACCGTCTTTTAGTTAAAGAGGGGGGTGCTGGCCCAAAGAGGAAAGAATCATTTCCGTGTTCTCTCTGACCGGAATAGCCTGGAGCGAGGTGAAGGGCTAGTTTTTCTCAGCCTGCTGATTGCCGGACCATAGATCTCGGCAGTTGCCAGCAGACCAGCCGGAGTTGTGTTATCTGCGCTTTCCAGATCAGCAAGCAGTTTAAGTGTAAGCGCAGGAGGATAGGCACTGTTAATGGGAGAGATTAACAGAAAAGTTACCTAATTGAAGGACCTGATAAAGCAGAATGCCTTCTGGAATCCGGTAAGCTGGAAGTTCAAGACCCAGCAGATCACCTCCCCCGATGGCAGGGTGCAGGCTGGGGACTGGGGAGGAGTGCAGGGCCCGGAGCCTCACATTAGGCCCCAGATGATGTCTGCAGCCCGCCAGTGATACAGTGACTGAAACAGCATCTCTGGATGGACATAGTCAGGAAGTCTGTATCTTTTCAAAGCACTTCGCAGAGTCTCATTTGACTTTCATCTCCCAATCTCTGATCCAGTCGGGGGAACTCCTCTACTAGTCTTAATTCTGAGGAGCCAAAAAGCCCTTTTCTGGAGGATCTAAAGAAAGCTGAGAAGACAGAATTTCCTCCCTCTGTTGAGCCCATCACTTCCCACCCTCTACTCAAATCTCGGCTCTGAGTCTCCTGCTCAAATCTCAGCTCTCTGGCAGGATGCAGTAACATGGCACTAGGCTCAGTTGGCCAGGTGATACACTCTTTTTTGCACAGCAACCAGGAGCCCTGAACTTCGAGTATGAATGATGAGAGACACAAAAATCCAAGGCCAAGGCAGTCTGGGGCTCACGGTGCTATTGACAGAACTTGAGGAGGGAGTCCTGGACAGCCTCCGCTGCCCATCTCCCTATCCCTGCGAACACGGTGCTGTCCTCCCGTCTCATTTCAGAAGCAAGACAGAAAGTGAAAACGCAGGCCGAAGTACTTTCCTTTCTTGGTTCTCTGCTGCTAGCCTGTGTATGACACCTCTTGCCACATTTTCTGAATGCTTCCCAAACAGCCAGTCAGTTCCTTAATTCCTGGGTTTGGAGTCTTTTACTAAAATGAGAAGAGAGGTCTATCAAGGCACTAAGGTCTGTGAGACCAGTAGACAACATTTCCTAGCTTTGGGTAGTACCGGGCTGTGTCCAGAGCCCTTCACCTGCAGAGTTCTCCCTCATTCCTCTTGTACATGCCCCTTATCACCAGGGGCTTGGCCTCCTTTCTTTGACACACAGGGTCAGTCTAACTGAGCTTAAAAAGCTAAGTGGGTACCATTATTTTTTGCTAGAAGATATAGTGCTGTGCTAGCTGAATGAGACAGCACTAAGCAGAGAGACATCCACAAAGACAATACTTCCTAACCAGGCTTGCATGTCAGCATTGCCCCGGAAGGTCAAACGCACTTATCAGTGCTCCCCCGGCACGGCACCGTCGTGATTTGTCAGTTCTGTGGTGAGAGGCAGCTCGTGTATTTGAAAAGGTTGCTTGGCAGGCGCTAAGAAGCGCGCTCAGGACTCAGTGGCCTAAGGGAGACAGGTGGTGGGGGGGGGTAGGAGAGAGGAGCAACCCTCTGGGTGGGGGCAGGGAGGGAGCAACCAAACACCCTGAGGACTTTCAGCCAGTCAACCCGAACTACAGAGAAGGTGCTCCAGATTAGGAATCACTGCCCTGGTGGCCAGTGGGGCAGCCAGGGGGCTATCCCAGGCCTCAGGGATCTGAGGCAGAACAGGTAAGAGCCACTGCAATACGGAGGTTGACTTTTGTGGCTCAAGAAGTCACCTCTGGGCATCCAAGTGGGGGTCCACCACTACTGTTAGTATTAATAAAAATAAATACTATTTGTTAGCACTAACCCCATACCAGGCATGATGCTGAGAAGTTTATGTATTACATGTATTGTATATGATCCCCCAAAACAACCCTATAATGTAGATACTACCTGTCTTTACAGACAGGAAAAACAAGACTCAGAGAGGAAAACTGGCTAAGTAGAAAGTTCATCTAATAAGTAGCAGGGTCAGATCTGTCCTGATTTTAAGCCCACTGAGCTTTCCAACTGCCTTTCTGTGGGTGCTGTCCTCTACCACACTGACAAAAGGAAACTTGCAAGAGAATCATCAGAAATACGAGTGTGGACGAGCTGTCAGATGATCCCTATATCCTCTTCCTTCTAGTCCATCGTGTGGCTGCTAGAGCAGGACAGTGTGGGGCCAGACGCGTCCCTTCACTCCACATCTGACACTGCCACACGAGAGGAAGCATCGAGCATCCTCCCCACAAGACTGAGCACTTGATGGAGAGCCAACACCAAAACACCGCTTACACAACCACGGAGTTGTGACTTCCCCTTGACAGAAGTCACAACCCCACTCTCCTGGGCTCCCATACGTACTCCCTTCATGGCTCGGGTGACCTTTTATTGCACCTGCTCACCTGTTCATTTATATGATAGTATAGTAAGGGGGAAGGACTGTTCTATTCATCTTTGTATGCCTAGAACTTACATAAAACAGGCTTTCTGGAAATCAAATTTCTGGAACCTACCCCTTGGAGATTCAACAGGACTGTGGTAGGACTTGTATTGTTAACAAGTTCCTGAGTAAACCAATAAATACCAAATGTAACACACACTGGCATAGATAACGGTTAAATGCTTGGGTGATGACTGCATGAAAGAATTAGTGAATGGGTGGATACCACTTTCCATTAAGGTTTCCAAGAGGGAAGAGGCCCAGAAGAAGGTGCCTACCATGGCTAGCACTTCATTCCAAAGTCAGGAATTAGTTGAGGTATCTTAACTAGTTCAGGGACTTGAGTATAGGATTCTCTCATAGTCTATCTATCTATCTCTTTTATTATCTCTCTATAGATTTTTTCCTAAAAAAAAAGAAAAAGAAAAAAACATATAAGTAATGAGAGATGTTCT